TCTCTGACAGAGAAGACTAAATGTTTCACAAAACTAGTTCCCAGAATTCCCTAGCACTTAACCAGGGCAGTTAAAGCAGCCTCAAACTGGATTATTTATGCAGTATGTTTGGATAACACTCTACTATTACAAATGTGTACTATTTTGTTTTTAGGCTCAAAGTTCTCAACATTCCACTCTACTTTTAAATGAACAGATACTCAGCTTTATTTTACAAACAATTTTTATCATTATCATCAAATGCTATTTGTCATAGTATTATTAATTGTATTAATATTGTATTAACAGTATTTTATTGTTTTAAATTTTATCGTCCCAGGCAAAGTCGGTACGAAACATTTTAAACAAATAAACCTGTACTTATCCTATTGGAGTTAAGTGTGCACTGATAAATATTATCCTGGCTCTAGCTGCTTCTAGTATTTAGTAAGGCTGTTTATGACTACATGGTTGTGGCCTAGAGACCTAACCAGATGCCACATTAGCCTATGCACCTTACATGTTAGCATCTGCTTTTGCCTATACATACTAGTGTGTGTGTATGTGCCCTAAAGACATCTGTTGACTTATGCCAACCCCATGAATTTCATAGGGTTTGCTCAGGCAAGGAATACTCAGAGGTAGTATTGCGTTCCTTCCTCTGAAATACAGCCTACAGCACCTGGTATTTGTTGATGGTCCCCCATTTGAGTACAGAGCTGACCCTGCTTAGCTTGCAAGATCAGATGGGATCTGGGGTCTACTTTTTGTTAGCTGCATTCAAGTCATCTTCAACTTATGGTGACCCCATGAATGAGACCTCCAAGATGCCTGGTTATCAACCACCCTGCTCAGATCTTGCAGTTGTGGCTTCCTTGATTTCAATCTATTCATCTGGAACGTGATCATCCTCGTTTCCTACTACTTTCTATCTTACTAAGCATTAGAGGCAGCATGGTATAGTAGTTTGAATGTAAGACTACTACTCTGGAGGCCAGGGATCGATTCCATGCTTGGTCCTGAAACCCACTGGGAGACCTTAGGCAATTCACATACTCTCAGCATGAGGGGAAGGCAATGGCAAACTTCCTCTGAAAAAATCTTACCCAGAAAAGCCCATGATAGACTTGCCTTAGGTTGACATAAGTTGGAAATGACCTGAAGGCAAACAATTGTTTTTCTAGTCATGTCTCCTCATGATATGTCCAAAGTATGGCAGCCTGAGTTTAGTCATCTTGGCTTCCAGGAAGAGTCCGGCTTGATTTGCTCTAGGACCCATTTGGTTGTCCTTTTAGTAGTCCATGTTGTCTGCAGAACACTTCTCCAGCACATTTCAAATGAGTTGATTTCCTTCCTATCTTCTTTCTTCACTGTCCAGCCTTCACAACCATGCATAGAAATAGGAAATACAATAGCATGCACAATCCTAACTTTTGGATTCAATGATATATCTTTACACTTCAAGATCTTGTCAAGTTCCTTCAGAGCTGTCCAAGTGCCTACTTACCTGGGCGTAAGCCTCACTGGACACAATGGGCGTTTTTTACTCCCAAATAATTCGCAAGCTGGTGCTAACTCATGGTTGTTGTTGTTGTGTGCCTTCAAGTCATTCCTGACTTATGGTGACCCCATCCTGGGGTTTTCTTGGCAGGATTTGT